TCCGTGTGTCCATCTGGAGGTCCTGGTACGGAGGAGCGTTCACACTCTCCTGTAACTCCATGTCTAAGCTCTCATCCATCGTTGATACGTTCTTCCTTGGTAAAGTATAATTGTCTGGTTCCGTCTTGTCCTCAAAAATGCCCATGACGTCCTGAACCTTTCATTGTTTTTCGTCTGTTGTCAGTCTTGTGTACATTTGGTCGTTTGAAGTCCTTTGTCATCCTGTCCTTGTCTTCCTTCCTCTTCCCCGCTTTCTCATCAGTCCTCTTCATTGTCTCCTTCTCAACTTTCTTCGCTTTCCTCCCTTCTTCTTCCCCTCACCTCCTTTCTACCTCTTTCCTCTTCTTGCCTTTCTTCCTCTTTCCTCTTCTTTCCTTCTGATCTTTCTTCTTCTCATCTTTCTCACACACCCTCTCTTGTAACCTCAAATCCTCCTCTCTGCTTAGTCACAATTTTTATCCGTTTAGTTGTAAAATTTTTAGACATATGTGATTGTGAACTGCTCTGATTTTGATGCAATTTTTACTTGTTTTGTCACTTTCCAAATTTTGCCTCATGTAACAAAGGACATATTTCACTTTCATTTTTAACCATTAAAAAGCCATCACTTCATTGATCCGATGGTGGAATCATATGATTGATGATAATCTTAATATACCTGCTCATTCACTATATCTTGCTCTGTCTTCTTACTCAGCAAATGTGTTGCATCTTCCCTGGAATTTTAGCGCCTATCACCACCATCGTCCTCGGGATGAATTGGCTCAGTTTCATCCAGGTCTAGGGACGAGGAAATCAATTTTCACTTGCATCGTCGTCGCACCCCTCCCTATTCAAAACACTGCTCACATTGGAGTACGTCAGCTTCAGGTCATTTAAATCAGAGCTAAGTACTCCAGTGACGGCCTGTACAGCGAGCTGCTAGTGACACATATGTTCAGGCGGAACTAGCTGAAAGCGGACCTCTATGGCTGCTGTCTGACTTGTGTCCAATTCTAGGTAATTGACCTCAACACCTGGTTGACCAGCCTATGGCTTCTGCTGTTCAGTGAGTAGCCATTATGAAAGAAAAGTACAAAAGTCCTGCAGGAGTAGATAAATTAATAGAATATATATAGAATGTGACCCCAATGGTTTATATGAATTGACCAGAACTTCCTCATGCCGTTGGGCCATTGGGTCAGTAGTCTTATAAGGTTTACTATCAGGGTCCACAGTTAAAAATGTATATTGGTGCTGTTACGAATAACAAAAATATTTACATCTTTACAAGGTGGACACTTCAGCATTCAACATCTGCTCTGAGCTTGATGTTCTCAGCTTTGAGGGCATCAATGCTGGTTTTGAATGAAGTTCAGATTCATGGAAGCTGAAAAAAAGTAGCATTGTATCCTGAAATCCTCAATGCAATCGCAATGTTTGTTACTATTGTAACACCTGGGGATTATACAATTCACAACATACAAAATCTGTGAAATTTATAAACACGTTTATTATGAAGTACAGCTGACTATTCAGCTGTATTGTTGACCACTATGTATATGATATGCAAACACTGATCTCCTTTACCATGTTTAAAAAGTTTCACATTTTTCTCTGACTTATATGGAAATATGTTGGAATCTGTTACGGGGAAGATGCACTTGCTGTTTAGGTCTTTGGCTGGTCCCTGGCCTTCTATCCTCCCACTTCTCCTCTGCAGGCTCATCTTCATGCTCCTCCCCTTATTACATTAGAACAGGCTTTGCGCATGTGCTAAATAAAAACAATATGGCTGCAATGCTTTGTATTGCTTGAGATTGGCAGCTGCCACGCCTCGAGTCACCATTTCCCCCCCCCTAAAAGGCCTGGGGTAATACAGCCTCCCTTGGCTGCGAGTTGTGAATATGTATGGCCCAAACCACCTATCTGCCGTTTATCTGCCTTTCGTGTCTTCACTCCTGGAGTTCTTCTTGAGCATCAGTGCTCCTATCTTCAACTCCTAGAATTAAACAATGGATACATTCTAGTTTTATTTCATGGATGACATAGGCCTAGGGGAAAATTGAATTTCAACACATTTGAAGTTTACCAAGTTCACCTGGTTTGCAATGATCTTATGATCACATTCAGTAGCTTAACATGGTTTTCATCCAATCAATATGAATTTTTCAGAGAAATATGTTTCTCTAATTATGTTCTTTTTGTAATTTTTTGGACATAGAAGCCCACTTCCTATTACTTAACGCAAGATGCTTAAACTTTTTAGAGGGAGAATTTTCCTGGTGTTTTTAGTACATTTATCCTGTTTATTTCATCAATCTTTTTTATCACAAAGTTAAGATATTCTAAAATGCACTTCATCACTTCAGGCTGGAAAATCATTAACGCTTTCTAGATCAGAATATGATGCTCTGATGGGCCTTGTTGACAGTAATAACAACAGATTTAAGATGGAGTAATATCCATTTATTACATAAGAATAAACCGGAAAGCATGGAGTTTTCACTGTCTTACAAACTTGAAACCTTTTTCGATGGCAAACGAAAACGAAATCATTATTTTATTATATGACATATCCCCTTTAAGTTCAAAAGACATGAGTTGGAACATAAAAATATCTTATGTTTCCGGGACTAGAACTTGACAGTTTTATTACAACATGTGATACATTTGCAACATTAAAATCATGAAAACACTTATTAATGATAAATTGTTACTCTATGAAAATAGTTTGCCATTTTAGAGATGATGACAGAAATCAAAGAACAATGCCACGATTATTATAGATGCTATTTTCTATGTTAATTTGAATTAATTTGAAAAATTATGAATATTTATGAATCATAAAATCTAGTCATCTTCTCTACTGACATTATTATCAATTCTATCTAACTAACTCTTAATTAAACATACCTCATCCATGGTGGCAGTTCATTAACATATGCTTGCAGCAGCCAAATCTCAAGGTGTTGAGCTGAAAACACTCCCTCCATCTAGGTGCCAAAGTAATGATATGTTGTCAGGATTCTGCTAAAGCCCCCATGGAGGAAAGTGTGCCTGGTACATGCTTCCATCATACACATCTTTGATAACATGGCCATCATGGATACAAGGTGTAAAAAAAAATGAATTGTACATACCGTCTGTTGACTTGAATTCCTCCACAATTGCAATGCTATGGACTTTTGGAATTTGTTGGATTTACAGCTATTGGAATAAGCCAGAATAGACATAACAACTCCCAATTCCTTGACAATTGTAAGCTTGCAATAGTATAGAGTCACAAAAGTAGACTGTCTAAATCCATCATAATTTACAAATTTACGTAAGAAATTGTTCATTTTCCTCATATTGCAGCAAATACAAAAGGTGAAAACAAGGTAATTTTGTGTGAGATGCAGCTCATTTAATGTTTCGAGTGTAATGAATTTACTAATTGGTATTATTATTCAAATACCCACCTGTGCCGAACCTTCTTCATATTCAGCATCCTGCTCTGTCCTTATTTTTCACTGCCTCTCCTTTTGTTGTCTGAAAAATAATTTATGGGAATTTTTATGTCATACAACAAATTATAACATGTACCCAGAATTTTCACAAGACTGGCCATTTTATTGAAAGAGAATATATCAGTAAAGTACAATTTTATTTTGAGATTATCCTTCACTATGACTTCAAACTAGTATACTTTTTTTTAAATCTAGGATGTCTCAATTCCTTCATCTAACTATTTCTCCAATGGTTTCAATAGACCCTTAATGCACAAACTCATCTCGACTTTTGATTTAAGCCCAATTATTGAATTTGAATGATACAGGAATTATCCAGGAACTGTTCAAGCATGTTGGATCATCGATGAATGAGATCATAGAAAATGTAAAATATACAAATTTTAAGGGATATGTATCTAGACAATATTGTTGAGACAATATTGGAAATTATGGGCTTTTAGACGACCATGGTTAGGAAATGGTGATAGGAAATCCATGTCATTTATTTTTACCTTCACATGTTATTTTTAAATTAAGTATGAAGGCATGTGTGTATTTCTTTCCTTTTTTCAGGAAAGTATCATTACATTGTCTACTTTTATAGTAAACCTGGTAACAGGTCAATGGTTGTTCCTGTCTTGAAGCTTAAAAGAAAAATAGAAAGTGTGAAATATAAGAATTTCCTTGAGTTCCCATTTACCACCAGTTGTACTCACTCTTGACTTTTGTAATTTGTGTTTGACTTTCCAATGGCATTTGAGGTAGTAAAATCCCACTCCGTTTGGAGTCTCTCTGACTTTGTTTTTTTGCCACCTTGTTCAACAAACAATCGCATCTGGCGCACTGCATAGTTTCTGTCAGTGTATATTCACCAAACCCAACTGTACAAATGATCCTCGCAAAAGCGTTGAATACCTCTACCTGTACCTTTACCTAAGCTTTCACATTCATCATTCACTCTGGGGATTACTCTTAAGTTTTATTATGTAATGAATTATATAAAGACACATATTCACTAATGCGTGGGTCAAAAAGTCAACCTTTGCCTAGCCAATGATAAAAATAGAATAAAACCTCATGGTCATCTTTACGATTCTCGAGGACTTTACAGAAGTTTAGTTACACGTTTTTGAAAACCTTTACGTGAAACATTTCGACCTTTGTGATTACTGTCTCTTAATGAACTTTTCAAGTGTTCCATTTCTGGTAAAATGATTATTTGATTAGTTGAAAGCACTTCCTCCATCTAGGTGCCAAATTAGAGATATGTTGTCAGGATTCTGCAAAATTCCCCCTGGACGAAAGTGTGCCTGGTAGATGCTTCAATCATACAAATCTTTGATAACATGGCCATCATGGTTTTCTTTGAATCTGTGTTTCAATGCATCCTCAAATTGGTAATCTGAAGATAAACAATATAATAAGGTTATAGTGGCGAGTTACGCATTTTTATAATTTGTACAAAGTTGAATATGCAAGCCTGTAGCCTGGGAGATTTTTGATCCAATTTCCCTTCATCAGCAAGGAGGGTGACAGCCGATCTGGCCGACATCAGTTGCCGTCTGGCTGCCTCGACAGAACTTGCTGGACAAGCCTCTTCGGATAAAAGGTCTAACGGTGGTAATTGGACATTGAGGGGCGCCTATCTTCCTGTCCTCTGCGTTGAGGCCCTGACAAGTGACTGGGTAATAACCATGGCAATGTGAAAACTCTTCTCCCCAGAGTCGTTGATCTTCTCTCATCAGGTTCAGCATTTCCAATATGTGTACGTTGTTCTTGGTCGTGAACGTCTGGAGTGTCTTTACGCCGAAAGCAGTATAAACATTCACCATATATCGTGAGTTTTCCAACCGTTGGTGATATCCCGAGGAAAGCCTAAGATGACATTCGGGTCATTAGCGTGAAACTCCGTGGCTAGTTGAACGCCCATAACGCCAACGCTGTCCAAATTTAGTCCATAAATAATTCTAGCTCCAGTGCTCTCTGGTGTTGCCTTGCCCCCCATTTCTCGAACTAAGAAGTAGATCTTGTCCTCTGAGTTGGCATTCTGAACTTGCAAGGAGGCCGATAGAGCATCAAAACTGGATTCAAAAAGTTTGACCTGAAATGGAAAGCATAAATTAAGACTTGTCTATTTATTAATCATAAGGCATTAACGTTTTCGCGATATTTGGTAAGTGATATGCTATTATTATTACCTGGCTCCGTGACTTCGCCGGGAGGCCCATTAGGATAGAGTAGTTGAAGGTAACAGTGGGATCATTGGTGTTGTTTTCTCGGATATTATATATATGCAGTATTGCTCGTCAGCAAGGAGGGTGATAGCCGATCTGGCCGACATCAGTTGCCGTCTGGCTGCCTCGACAGAACGTGCTGGACAAGCCTCTTGGGATAAAAGGCTAACGGTGGTAATTGGACATTGAGGGGCGCCAATCTTCCTGTCCTCTGCGTTGAGGCCCTGACAAGTGACTGGGTAATAACCATGGCAATGTGAAAACTCTTCTCCCCAGAGTCATTGATCTTTTCTCGCCAGGTTCAGAATTTCCAATATGTGTACGTTGTTCTTGGTTGTGAACGTCTGGAGTGTCTTTATGCCGAAAGCAGTATAAACATTCGCCATATATCGTGAGTTTTCCAACCGTTGGTGATATCCCGAGGAAAGCCTAAGATGACATTTGGGTCATTAGCATGAAACTCTGTGGCTAGCTGAACGCCCATAACACCAACGCTGTCCAAATTTAGTCCATAAATAATTCTAGCTCCAGTGCTCTCTGGTGTTGTCTTGCCCCCCATTTCTCGAACTAAGAAGTAGATCTTGTCCTCTGAGTTGGCATTCTGAACTTGCAAGGAGGCCGATAGAGCATCAAAACTGGATTCAAAAAGTTTGATCTGAAATGGAAAGCATAAATTAAGACTTGTCTATTTATTAATCATAAGGCATTAACGTTTTCGCGATATTTGGTAAGTGATATGCTATTATTATAACCTGGCTCCGTGACTTCGCCGGGAGGCCCATTAGGATAGAGTAGTTGAAGGTAACAGTGGGATCATTGGTGTTGTTTTCTCGGATATGATTGATGGCAGTTATAATTCGTCCCAAAAACTGTTCATGTTGAAGTCTCAAGGTGTCAGTAATAAGACTCACAGTCCACATCCCCGTATAGCCGATGGTGAAAGTATACAGAGGTTTGAAGCCCATAACCTGGTCCATAGAAGGGTAGTTGCGAAAGAGATTGCCGAGTGGCGTAGCACGTCGATAAGATGTTAGTAAATTGACATTTCCAGTAAGCATGGATAACGGGCCTACAGCCCAAAAACCGTCAACGTCGTTTGTTGCATTGAAACTGTCAGCGTTGTTTGTTGCATTAGCCATTGTCGCTTGTGTGATTGTTGCTATAAAACTGAAAGAGAAATTTTGCATTAATTCAACAGAATGCATGAAAAGAAGCATTCATCCCCCTTTGCTGGTTCATGCAAACCAGATATTCCAGCTGATTTCTTCGGGGTTCTGCTTCGCCTATAGCGACTGTCAAATGGGTGGTTCTACAGAAATAGTGGGAATCATTAGGAATATAACAATAATAATTGCCAACTTTTGTATTCCATCAAACTTGATCTATAGTGTAACCTAAAGGATTAATACAGCATAGATCCAGTTTTAAAGTTAATTTAATTGGGCTTATTTTTTTTACAGAAATGTTAACTCTCACCAGAACAAGTCCTTGAGTTCCATATTCCAGTACTGACATCTTTAAGTTAGCAAAAACTTGTTGGTATATCCACATTTCTGAGGTGTGTTGAAAAGAAAAAAGGTGTCATTGATTTTATAGCTGCATTTCTTAGATCCCAGTTCCACTCACCAATTACCAGATACAGATTTATATTTGCCATCACATTTTTAAGGAATGTTTCCTCGTTTGAAATGTAATATTCAAAGGCATCCCAAAACTAAGTCATTTTCAGCAAACTTTATTTTGAAAGAAATGATTCTTCAAAATATTAGTTCTTGATTGTTAGTTCTCTTAAAATGTTTTGCATTTTGAAGTGACGTTAAAGATGATCCCTTGTAAATTTTCTTGGCAAATGAATGTCCTTTTGTTCTTTGTTTAAAAAGTTGTTTAACATGATGTGGTTGACACTTTTGTGTGTCACCCTGTACTTTTTTTCCAAAACTGATCTGATCTGATTTTAGTGATTATCATTGTGAAATTCCCCCTCACCAGATCCCAATTGTCTTCGACTCTAGACAATGATTTTTATTTCTTAACTATTGAAATTTAGAATCTTATATATGAAGTACAAAACAAACTTATTACCATGTTATCCAACTGACCATCTCAGTGTATGATTCACTCTTAATCTGGTCTTTATTATCTCACCAAGAGAAGTCCAGAGGGGAGAATATAGAATCTTGGATCTTTTTCCAGAATTCATCCTGCTTCACTTTTGTAATATCCAAATAAAAGTTGTCTCTTACCAAGTCCCTATTTTCACTTACTCTATCAACAATTATTTCTTCTTTTCATATTTTTCTGTCAAATTGATATCATATTTGGAATCTACATGCAAAATTACATCTAGGAATGTGCTTACAAAAATTGTTAATAGGTAAAATTGGGTCCAAGTTTCTTCACATGAATTGCATGGTTTTCTTCAGAACTGAAATTGGAATTCATCCGATTAGTTTCATGTTTTCTATGATCATGTAAAGAGGGGCATGGCCATAGAATTGCCTCCCAGACAGTAACTGATGTCCCAATTTTCATAATATCTTACATGCTTTAAGTATATCTTGGATCAACTTATAGGTTTAGTTTTGCCAATTTATTGATAAAAGCAAATTATCAACAAACTCTCTAAATTGAACACATTTGGGTTAGGTGCAATTAAGAGGAATCTCCTTCAATTGGCAAGCAACCATCAGACCCACCCATCCCATCCCATCTGTCAGCTCACCTACCAAACCACTTGGGAAACTGTTCATTATCTAGGACATAGAACCAAAGGGGTGATAAAAATATGTGGAAAATGTGAGAAAAGATGTCCCTCAATTCGCCCATCGGTTTGTCAAGGCAATAAATAAAATACATGTTACAGATTTGATTCAAATTTTATAGGCTTATGCCTTCAATGTATGAACAGTACTGATAACCTCATTTCAACAGGCACATTCTGGACAAAGATTTTATTATGTTGCTTGCTGAAATGATGCTGTTTGGCTTGTTTTCTTTTTTACTCACCAGATTCCTCCGTTGGAATGCCATTGCCCCCTTCTCTGTCAGTAATACCTCACCTCTTTACAACTGTTTCCAGCAGGTACGGCAATAATACTAACAGGCAGTACTCATCTCTCCGTGAAATTAATACAATGACAATGTGATTAACTAGTAACAAAAATACATCAAACATATGTCGTATTATATGTGCATTGAAATATTAAGTTTTCTTTGGAAGTATGACTTTAAGGTTCAGTCAATTCTCCATTGAACCCATCTTATAAAATGAAAACTGAATTATCTAGTAACTGTTTTGAACAGATGATATTTCCTTTGACTTGATACGCATTTCCTTGTATAATTATTTTGCTCAAAAAGTTATATAAAAATTAATCAAGTATTAAATCTTCATTCTCTATACCTGCAATATTATTTAACCTGAAAAAGTCACCTGGTGGTGAACTAGGCATTTAACTATTGACACCCTATGGTACCTCATACACTCATATATTCAATACATATTGTGAATTATTAATTATTCGCATACATGAATAATGACTACCACTACTAGGGACACACGACTCGCTAAACCAGGCTATTTGGTTGATCTCTGGGGCCTTGTCCAATCTGTATACTTCAGATTCTATTATTAGGCTAAAAGTACCTACAGAACTACTCTTGTCTAAGCTGGTAAGGCAGAGTTGTTCCATAGTTCAGTTACCCCAGACTGATCCTTACTCTCAACCAAGACATTTATCATAACGAGATTCAGGTCCATGAATTCTTCATCAATTTCGATGATGACTCAATCTCCATCTTGGACACCTGCAATCTGCAACTCCACCCTGCAGCATGAAAATGGGTTAGATTCATCTCTTAGGTGCAATATTCACAGGTGAGTGATAACTGCGTGCATGTTCCTAGAATAGTAATTCATGCAAATTTTAAAAAGTGCTTTTTAAACTGCTTCTTACTTTGCTTGCTATTTAAACTTGTACATTTGGACTTATAATTTAGAAGTCTTCATTCAGAAAGATTTTTGTATCATTACATGAATTGTTCATTGGAGAGTTTCATTTCAATATCTCATTTTTGATTGCTAACATTAAAGATGAGCATGTCAACACCCACTGGAATTGAACCAGTTCCATCTACTTTCATAGATTATGCTACCATTACACTAGAGAGTTGGAAACATCATACATCAAAATGTAACACAATCAAAATTGTAAAAGACAACTGTGAAATATATAAGTCCAAACCAACAAGCAATTATCAAGCAAAGTAAGTCAAACAACTAAGACTTACTCTTCCAGGCACCATGTTGCTCCTGTTATCCTTCAGAAAAGAGATGGGAATTTTAAATGCTTTAGCAACACACCCTGCCTTGTGTTGAAGCTGGAAGCTGGAAATTCGAAATCCAGACATTGCTGCATTGATGCTTTTTGAGATTAGTTCTTCCTCCACATCACATGGTAGAGCTGGCTGCCTGCCTCATCTTGCTCCAATTTCAATCTTGCCACATTTGTGATCATGTAAGGAAGTTAAAGGAATGCCAGTCTGACAGGCAGTGGATCTGACAGACTGGCCATTCCCAATCAATTCTAGGGCCATTCGCATGTCATCATTGGACCACTTATTCATAGCAATATATTTACGTGGCATTCTGAAAAAAAATAATTCAAAGTGAATGAAACATCATCTTTAACACCATTGCTACAACCAGGGGTCAGCAGAACAATCACTGAGCATTATTGAGATTATTATTTCATATAACTTTAACACTAATACTAAGGTAGTAGAGAGAGAACTAGTAGAAAAAACAAAATCAGTTGAAAGAATATGAGTTTCTTAATCCAATGTAAGTCGTATCAAGTCCAGAAAAAAACAAAACACAATCAAAATTAATTTCAATGGTTCCTGAAAATGGTGGGGTTAAATGGGAATACCTCATTTATTAACGAGTTTCACACAAAAAAATGTATATAAGATGGTAGATGGTATAACAACATGAAAGATATATAGGAACTCATATTGAAAAGGATTATTTTGTTCTTAGACGCAAAACTGTACAAATTATACTCACATTCCTGCACAATCAAAAAATTTGGAGTAATTGTTTTCCTTCCGATAGGGCAGATAGATAAATACTTATCTAAAACTTGTTTCTCCTTTCTGTATTGTTTTAAAATATTGGTGTCCTGCTTGATTCTTGATTCTCACATGATTGTTGAATTTTCTGAACTTCATGATTCTTCAAGATGGTCTTCATCTTGTCATTGATGAGTTGATGATTACATTTTTTGATGCATTGTACAAAACGCAATTGTACATTTAATTCTATCAGTGAATCACGGAATATCCATTTTATGGCAAAATACTGAAGATACTCATAAAATGTTAAACAATAATTGGTTGTGACAATGAAAGAATGTGTCAAAGTAATGAAAAACAATATGTTTGTAATGTGAAATTAAAATACAGAAATGAATCATTTTCATCAGATTTCACATAACGTTTCCATTTACCTGATCAGGGCTGTAGAGTTGCTCTACACAGCTGAAGGCTGGTGATTGATAATCAGGTTACAAAATCACTGGGTTCCTGAATATAAATTGAGGGTTCATAAATAATAGTCTCACTATCAGAGACATTGGATACATTATTTTTATGTTTCTAAATGATAGATAAAGGGTTTTGAAGGAAATGCTTGTTACCTAATGATGATAACATATTTATCAATCAATTATGGTTGTTGGTGGTTGAGGATCCTTATCGAGGGTTTATAAAAAAATACAAGAGAACTTACTGTAACTGTTGTCAGTTCAAATATCCCATTGTCAATGTTGGAGTGGCAAAATGCTCCAATAGTGGCTGGGTTATTTGTCACATCATCAAATGCAATGATATGGTCATGAAACCATCAAATGCAATGATATCATGGTCGAGAACTTGACCATGATATTATTGCATTTTATGGTTTCTGACCATGAAACATGAAATACTGCGAAACGGCAGTATTTTTTCAATGGAAAACTCCATGTTAAAAACCAATGTTAACCATGAAATGCAATGGTGCCATTTAACGATCATGATCGGCATGGTATTTCATTGCATTCTGTTGTCAAAAGTAGTTTATTGTAGTTCTATTATTAATTGTCATCATGGTAATTATTAATTCTGAATCCCAGATT